TGACTTGTTGAGCAATTTAAACGGCTTCAGAAGCGCCGCGGGGCTGCCTCTTTCTGTTGCATCATGAGCTAATTGTCTCTGGCACAGATGAACGCGGCGTTCTGCGGTCTGATCAAGTCTCTTCTCACAGATTTGTGAAGRCTGTTCACACATTAAAAGAGTAAATACAGTGTACTGAGAAAGGCCAATGAACTAGCCGCCTGATATTTATGGTTAAACGATGTTTAGTTTGGTGTTTACCAAACACATGTCTAAATTAAGACCCGTCGTATCTTTCCTTTTCATGCCAGAGATGTAGATAAAGATCTTCTGTTGAGAAATAATGGCTGCTTCAGTCAAACTTTGAAAATAAAGTGTGCACAGTATTGTGACTACTCGTGATCAGTTAGTGCTTAACATAAGTGTTAGAGATGACTCTCAGCTGTTACAATGCAAAAAGGCTCAGTAGCTGTAAAATTGACGTAATTACGGCCATTTTTAGGTCATTTTGTGGCCGTCTTGAATGAGKTTGACTCCAAAAGTTAATCTGTTGTAAATGTCCACCTGATGAATACTTTTTATGAGTTTCATTGATATACATTCTGTGGTTTGAGATATTTTGTTAACGGACACATACCATCACTGGTTAAAACAGACCTTTTAAAAATGAACTGAAAACTCCTGGTTTSCTTTTGTGGTCATCTTGTCTCTACWKCATCCGGTATGTTTAAGAGAAGCTTGTGGTTTTCTCTTTAGAGCTCTAATAAAACACTCCTTTTATGTTGGTCATCTCTAAGGTTTTTAGCTGCACAAGATTTCAATAAACGTCTATTTTCACTGGATTAACTGAGCATAATGAGACTCAAATTGAGATGTTTGACAAGGTCAGACATCATCTTAAACACAGGGTGGTGGAAGGCATGATGGTTTGAACATTAAGTCGACAGGCTGTTTTATTTRGATTCATTATATATTATATGAATCTAAATTATTAGTGCCTAAAATGTGTCTCTATTGCTCTGATTATTTTAAGGTAAAGTTGAGCTAGCCTAGCTTATTAGCCTCCATAGTCTGCAGTAAGCTCGATATGCATCAGCTGCTAGCATGTTAACACCTGTAGCTTGTCACAAGCATTTGCTACAAAACAGAAAGTTAAGAAAGTTAAGGTGAAAGATGACTGCGTTATCTGCTGGTCACCAAATAATAATAATTTCTTTTAAATGAGCATAAAGGTTAATAGGACTCTTTCCCTGACCTAAATGACAAGCTAACAGCTAGCCCCAGCGAAGAGCTAACGACTAGCCCCAGTAACAATATTATAAACTATGAGTTTTGAGCTAACGACTATCCCTAACTATTCTTAGAGCGGACCTATTGGCTGGCCCTGGTGACGAGCTAATGAGTAGCCCCTTTCACGAGCTAACGACTAACCATATTGACAAGCTAACGATTAGCCTCACTGGGACCAGAACTTAAGTGGATAGCGGCCATCTTAAAACCCCTCYAGTCTTTACATTTTCATAAAGATTAATTTAGATGCTGTTTTCTTTAATATCTTCATCACATTCCCATCACACCGTCTGAAATGAAGCAAGGTTAATTATTTCCAATTCTTTCTGCCAAAACTGTTTCTACAAACGACTGCATCRGTTTCACGCACATTATTTGGTATTTAATTTAGGACCTGATAAAGACAAAATTAAAATCTTTTAATAACGCATTAAAAATGTTAGACATGTTGCTTAATTGCAGCCATGTCTGACTTTGAAGAAAACATTTTTAACATTATTTTAAGCTGTTAAASTCTGCACTTGTATCACCCACTGACCTATTTTTTTCAACTAATGATCCAACAGAATATTTAGTAATTAGGATAATTGATATACAAACCACTGGCTCTGCAGTGAAGCTCGTCTAATTGCCTCACCTTTTACCTCCTGCAGATTTGTTTAATGAGAATAAATAAGTGCGGGACTCTTGCAGTGGAACTAATAAAGGTGGTTTTGATTCTGTAGCAAGATAACGTTCTGCAGAAACTCCCAGCTGGAGCTGAGGGCGTCGTTACGATTCTGTCCGTGCTCTGACTTGTCGCAGAGGAAGATGAATTGTAGCCCATCTAAATGTTTGTATTTTGAGGGGGCAGWACTCCTCCTCCCTGTATAATTTTCATGCAACCACATCAGTCATTACCATCACACCGTCTGGGCTGAACAGAGCTGGTTTTCCTTCTTCTACTTCTGCTCTGTGCTCATCCATCCACAACTTGTTCCTCTTTTTTTCTGAGGTTTATTCAAACAAATGCTGTGTCAAACAACACGCTGCTTTGTTTTAGGTCTTTGGCTGTGAGTTGAACACATCTCACTTTATTTATTCACCAGAATAAATAGTTATTTTAACAATCCRTATTCAAGATGGCTGCCACAGCCACCTCAGTCGGAAGAGGAATCAGTTGAGGTTGTTTGTCCGGTAAGGGTTCCCCCTAAATGTCTCCTTTGGGAGGTGATCCAGGCATCTCCATCTTGGGAGAAGTCTTAGGACACGTTATAGAGACTCAGCTGGTCTAGGAACACCTTAAAGCAGGGCTATTCAACTGGCGGCCCRCGGGCCACATCCGGCCCGTGAGTGACCAAAGTTCGGCCCTCCAATTGGTTCATCTCTTAAGCCCAAACTTTCGGTTTTCTACTTTAATTACTCTTAAGTTCTTTTAGTTAAACGTTGACATGTTTGGTGTCTACAGAAACGTCAGAACCTTGGCTAGAAGCTGGTAAAAACCATTTCTATGAACACTCAAGACAGTTAAATTTACAAGCAGTTGAAGATAAAACTATGAAAGTGAAAATAAAATTGGTTTAAAAATTTGGCAAGTCAGAGATATCAAAATATTATTTGTGTCAAATAGGAGGCATAATGTGCTCTATTTGTTTTTGATAATGTTTAATTATCACTACTTTTATAGGGTTGTATTCATGATTAAATGCAGCAAAATAAACAAATTCAAAGGTAACAGTTCTTTGTAATACTTGGTTTATTGACATAATAACTTTAATTGCTGGATGTTCGGCCCCTCAGCTGTTGACCTGCAGTAACTGTGGCCCCTGGASCAATTTAGTTGAATAGTCCTGCCTTWAAGTTCTCATAGAAGAGGGCTCCAAGATGTCGGAACCTCTCTGATGAACCTGCTTCCCCCGAGACCCGACTTTGGAACAAGAAAATGACGGATGCTGCAGCAGTCTTAGAATGACAAAAATAGCTATAATTCACTCAATTCTATAGATGATGAGCTGAAGATTGATGTGGTAGCTGAGAGTCACTCAACTCAAATTACATCAAAATTTCTAGTTTGACTTTTCACAGAGGGAAGTCTGCCGTCCTCGGCGGCAGTTCTAGGGGGTGGACACTATAAAAATAAATAAATAAATAAATAAATAAGGACATTCCATCCTTTTTGTAGGCAAGTTAGTACATTATACAAAGCTGAAACACCAACCCTGTCACATTTAGTTAAGAGTTAACACCGACACACATCGGGTTTTTAAAATGGGTTTCAACTACAGATACATGAAATGATTGACCTCTACTTTGTAACGATTTTCACATCGATCAGCTCRAATTGCTGACTTGTTGGGCAAATCCTAAAAATCCAATTTTTATCACTGAGAAATCCGACAAATTTTTGGTCTTTGAATGCAGTATTGGCAGGTAAGAGGTTTTCAAAAATCAGATATCTGTATTAGTGCTGGGTGGTATACCGTTTTGTACCGAAAACCGGTTTTTATTTTTGTTATGATAAGAAATTTCTGAATACCGGTTTAAATAGCCTGAACATGTGCAGAATGTTTTGTCGCGGCCGCCAGTGAACTGTTTCCTGGGGGGCACGTTGCCTCGCAGCACCGCTAGGCGCATTAGCATGCTAACGTTAGTGCTGGAGCCAACTGGTGGCGGGTGGTGTTTCAGCTGCTTATATTGACTGACGTTAAAAAAAATCCTGTTTTCACCATCGTTGTATAAAGTAAACAACTCTTCAGTGACGTGCACGGTTAGATTTAACGCGTTACGTTATAATGGAGACGTTATTGCATGGAGACTCTAGCGTGCTTCTATTGTGAAAAGKGGGGAGTAGTTTTGTAGTGTAGCGGAGTTGACTGKTGTGCAAGGTGAGTCATYCTTTTAACTTTTATTAACACGCGATAGACCTGAAAATGATTTTTTTCTCAAACCTTYATGATCGGACCTAAGTGCATGATTACTGTCTACAACCAGGCRAAGTAGAAAAAAACGTACAAGAGGAGGGAAACAGTGRTACAGAGATACAGTAAAAGAAAAAAGTCAATAAGCAAAGTTTGTGCATTTCATTATTAGCTGAGCTGTRAGGAAAAAAATGCCGTCAAATACCRTGAAACCGGTGTAATTGTTGAAAATACTGTGATATAAAATTTGGGTCATACCGCCCAATTCTAATCTGTATCGATCCACAAAACCAGAATGATGYCTTTTTTGTTTCAACAGACACGCAGCTAACTACTCGTGCTTTTTAACATCTGCGGTGCAAGTTTTGTCAGTCCTGAGAGTTTCCACATCTCAAATGGACAAATCCAATTTATATATAAAAAAACAGAAGGTATTCTTTTGGACATAAATATTTATTTTATGTCCTTTTAAAAAAAATAGCTGAGGTTAGTCTTTGAACTGAGTCAGCGTTTAATTTTGGCACCTCGTAAAAAAGAGAGAACACCTGTTTTGTTCATTTAACAGTCCGGATGGACCTGTTAAATGCAGCGTTTTATGCAATCTGTGTGATTCATATTCATTCATAAATAACCTGAATGTATAAAATTAGGTTTAAAGGTTAACTCGTCTTGCGACAGTGAACTCTGGTCCCTCTGGAACCTTAYGCCCCACCCTTTCCTCCTCAAGAAAACTCATTCATCTGCTTTTGTATTAATCATTCACAGTTCATGTGGAATTTGATCCTCGCTCATTATCTGTGCTAACGCCCCAACTCTCCTTCCTCTCTCCTTCAGTGGGATGCAGCAGGCCAGCCTGAGCCCTTGGAGAGGTTCCTGAGCCTCCGAAATGGGTCAGACGAAAATCGAGCCGGTGAGGAGATTCGGTGCGGTTCATACACCGACCCCTGGAAACGGCAGCAGCTAACCGACCGAGCCATGTGTCCCCTGATCTCCTGATCCACTCTTTTTTTTCCTGACTCCTGCACTCAAATCAAGACTCGCAGCAGCTCCTCCGCCTCAGTAAACCCAGCATGGCRTCCCCCTTCATGTGGAAGCTGTCGTCACAGAAGCTCGGCTTCTTCCTGGTCAGCTTCGGCTTCATCTGGGGCATGATGCTGCTACACTTCACCATCCAGCAGCGGGCCAGCCACGAGAACAGTGCGGTGCTGCGACAGCAGATCCTGGATCTCAGTAAGCGCTACATCAAAGCCCTGGCTGAGGAGAATCAAAATGTCATGGATGGGCCGTATGTGGGAACCATGACGGCTTACGGTGAGTCCACGCTTTCAGGAGACGATGTGTAAAGTCAACACGTCTTCAGCCTCTAGTGAAAATATAGAGTTCAGTCGTCCATCAGAACTTTAATGTCCTGTTAAGTTACAATAACAGCTTGATTTGGAAACATAATTAACACTTTTGTCACAGTCTTAGTAGAGATGTACCAATTTAAGTCAAATGTTGCCATCTATTTAAAAAAACCTAAATCATATGTGTATATTATTATTAGCTTTTGTTCAATGAAATATTTAGTACAAATTTGCAAAAGAGAAGATTGTGTTTTGGCTATTTGTTGTTCTGATTCCTAAAGATTGGCATCAACAAACTCAATAATTTAACCTCTCTCTCGTTGTATACACACTTGAAATATTGTGTAACTCCACTACAACAGTCATAAATGTGCCCATTATCAGTTATATTACTGAGCTTTTTCCATTTTACCCATAAGACAAAGCAAATAAATGTTACAAAGTCAAACGGTAGATTGGACCACTTCACAGTTTGGAATGTTGTAGTTTGAGGATTTATTTACTTAAATTTGTGTGGAGAAGTAACGTGCTCTCACCAGACGAGGTTTTACACATGAGATTTAGAATAYTTAAAGTCCCAGAGGGTGTTCTCCCTCTCCCAGCCGTCCCAGTCTGAGTCACAGTGAAATAAATGACTTTATTTCCAAAATAAAACCCCAACAACCCAACACCGACTAAATCGACTTTATCACCCACTTTATCTAGCATTCTTTGCATTTCAGATAGAAGTTGTCAATCAAAAGGTGGATCCTGCATAAATTTTCTTGTTCAAAACTAGCAGAGAAATTTTTAAATCGATCATAATTACACTTTACACCGATTAGCATTTCTTGGAGGCCAACTCCGATCTTTTCACGCCCCTTGCCTGCCACTTCCAGTTTTTCTGTAAAAGCTGTGATTATTGACAGACTTTCTTTGTTGAATCTAGAAAACAGATGAAAGTATAAATAAAAAATTTACATTTTATTTAAATAAGTGTGAAGTAAGAAATGTTAGAAGTCAACGATTATCAGAAAGGTTTTGTTTTTCAAATGAAACCCTAATAAAAATAGATTTTTTCTTTGTAAATCAAATTTGTCAATTTTTTTAAACCTCAAAACACAAAAGTGCATTTACTGTTCAAATCACTGACATTCTTGTGTAAAAAAAAGTCTTATTTATTTTTTGGTAACTTCTGATCATCCTTTTAAAACACCATACAGATACCACAAAATGAAAAATGATGAACTTTCACTCCTCTTCCCTAAGTTAAAGCTGAACATCACAAATTACCCACCTAACAACTGTTCATTCATGAGGCAGCTCATSTATGGTATGTTTACTGATCTGGAAATGTAAATAAAAATCGTATACATACATATACACACAAACACATTTTGTCTGATTGGATGGTCCTCTGTCGAGTTAAAGATTGTCTGATTCCGGTCACTGCTTGGTTCATTCAGTCCCTCTGTCAAATTAAATGTGATTGAACGTTCAGGGATAATCTAAATAATGCCTGGCATATAATAAAATGGCAAGAAAGTTATTTTTTTTAATAAATTTAGTAAAGAATCAAACTAAATGGGCACAATAGGATAATAAAGTAAGAAAAAAAATAAAAATGGGCCCAGCCTGGAAGATTTACCGCTGATACAGCTGCATTAGAGCCTAATACTGTTTTAGTGCCGGTCCAGAAGGCTCGTCGATAATTTATTTGTGCCGTTAATAGACCCATACAACTCGATGGGAAGCTTCATTAGAAACCTGAGATTGGAATTGATTGTTGTCTAATTCTCAGAGAAACAGCAGCGTACAGTAAAGCTCCTGGAGATTAAATTCGCTCTTGCTGAACCTAAGAGAAGATGCAGGAGTATCGAAGGAAACCAGCTACAGGGTTCGATTTTATACGGGACCTGTTTTTAAATTGATCTTCAAGGTACATGCTAATTGTTTGTTTTATTTTTCACTTTTAAAAAGTTATCAGAGATTAGTCTTTCCAGGAAACACTCTCATGTCTGATTTTTGATGATCAAGTTTCTCATTGCTTCAGCGGTCTGCTGACCACTGGTCAGTTTAGCCATAAAAATCCATTTCCAAGCCTCGGTTAGATAGTGCAACAGCAGGACGCTTTGAGCTTCCTGCGTTTGTTTTGATTTGATTTGTAATGACTCAGAGGGGAAAGCGGGGTGTCTTCCTCTAGCTCTCAAACGACCCACAGAATCCATTTCAATTGAGTTTTCTAGACTCCAGAACCTGATTATGGCCAACTTTGATGCTTTGATACATATTTTTACCAAAATATTTATATATTTCTGTCATAGACTAATCATTCAGGTTATGCTGAAATATGAACTTGGTTTTGAGTTAAACGGAGACACACTATTATTATCTTGGACTACAAATATACAACGTTTCTCCCAGTGTATTATATCCCTGGAAGATTGATAAACATAACAGAACCGGCTGCCTTCCCTATCAAAAGTTCTGTTACTTCCAGATGAGTAGCAGAGATTGTGGCTTTGATCTAGCACACACAATGCATCACTCTGCCACGTTCCTTTTCTCCTAACCCTAACTGTCAGATTACCAATTTTTCTGCGGGAAACCCTGACATCTTTAATGCTAATGAAGGGAATTTGTGATCAATAAATGGAAGTCTGAATAATATAGCAGAAAACCAGTTGAATCTCTTCTAAAAACTTTATTCTCGTCTCTGACTCTAATCAGCTCCAGCAGCATACACAGTTAGGCCTCAGAGTAAGAAGGATTTGGCTGCGCTAAGATAGAGACTGCACAGAAACGAGCAAAAAACCTCTGCCCAATAATAAAGATTCAACCTTTAACATATGTCTCTTCCTAGTTACACCCCTGAAGGTGTTACCTTCTGTGTCAGACATTAGAACATAACCAACTTTTGTTTATACGGACAGAACACATCGATAAGTCAGAAAGTATAAAAATACAGTACTGGATCTAACATTTAGTCAGTCAGTCACAAAATTTCCTTCACTAACATTGTTTAATTTCAAGAATTGAAGCAGCAGAAACTGCGAGTCACACTGAAAGACACTCAGGCTGAGTGCTCCACGGCAGCGATAGGCCTCTGCTAGCTTGAATTTGGTCACTCATGCAAGTTGGACACGTGTAAATGCTAACGATGATGCATTAACATTTAATACATTAGAGTTTTTTTAAGGGGTGGACTGTGACGATGTTTTGGCTCTGGCGTCTCCACCTTTGGATATTTGTTGGGGGGGGACACCAACATGTAAAAATTTCAGTGACATCCATGCTGTGATTTCTGCTATGCAATCCAGGAGTTGTGTTCACGGAGTGTTCTCCTTACCTTTCTTCCTCAAGGAGAAACTCATAGAAATGAGAAATTCTACATTGCAGACCAAAAAAGTGGATTGATTGAATTTCCTGTTTAAGTAATGAATAGATTTGGTTTGAAAATCCAGTTCCCAGTCAGTTTCTGTCCACAATTTTTGCTCCAAATCAGACAAATGTGCAGTCCCGTGCACCATGCCAAGCTTCACTGCGCCTTTGCCAATCTGATGTGATGAAAACTGGCGTGTCTAATGCATCATGGCGAGGAGAAGGCAAGGAGGAGGGGATCATTTGTATGTGGCAGACGAGAGGCGATTATCATCTGAGCAGAGCAAACACGAGCCGCTCTTATCGCTTCTGTATGAGGATGAATAAAATATTTAAGCTTGGCTTTGTCACAGATGAAAAGTAGCATCCTCATTAAGTGTTACTTCCTGTTATTTGAGTGCCAGTTAGCTTAACATTTCTGTGTAAATGCCACTGCAATTGCTGCAGGTTAAAGTATCAAGAAAAGAAGGCAGTAAATAAGGCCAGAGAATGCCAGGCTTTAACATTTAGTCATCCTGAAGATTTAGTTTTCTYTATCTCATTACTGTCCAGCCTTTTTATTTCCTGTCTGGTTTACAATATGTACTAAAATAACACAAATACCCATCTGTCTGTCCATTTATTCATCCACTTATTCAACCATCTATCCATCCGTCCATCCATCCATTTATCTATCCATCCGTCCATCCATCCATTTATCTATTCATCCGTCCATTCATCCATCCATTTATCTATCCATCTATCTATCCATCCGTCCATCCATCCGTCCATCCATCCATCCATCCATCCATCCATCCATCCATCCGTCCATCCATCCGTCCATCCATCCATCCATCCATCCATCCATCCATCCATCCATCCATCCATAAATCCATCAGTCATCTTCCTCTTGGTCCAGACTCCAGAGTCAGGTCTCGGGGGCAGCAGCTTGATGAGGGAGGTCCAGACCCCTCTTTCCACAGCCAGACATAGTCTCTCAACTGGGGTTTCTTCCCTGTTGGACATGTCCAGAACACCTCCTTAGGGAGGCGTCCAGGGGTCCTTTTTAATCAGATGACCCACCTCAATTGGTTCCCCTGGAAATGGAGGAGCAGCAACATCTCCTGTTCTCTAAAGAGTTCAGTTCAAAAATCGATAAATAGTTCTGAAATGTTAAAGGTATAGAATTGTAAGAACCCTGTATCTCTGCTAAAGTGAAGCCACTCGTTCTTTTCTCACAGACTTGAAGAAGACCCTGGCAGTTCTGCTGGATAACATCATGCTCAGGCTCGGCAAGCTCGAGTCCAAGGTGGAGAACATTTACAACGGCACGGGAAACAACCTGACCAACGGCACCGGCACCGTCTCGCCAAGCTCTGGAAACCCAGAGAAGGTTAACGTGGCAGGTTTGTGCTGGATGTTTGGTTCTCTTGTTTCTGTTTCATTCAAATCAGCAGGTGTGTGTGTGTGTGTGTGTGTGTGTGTGTGTGTGTGTGTGTGTGTGTGTGTGTGTGTGTGTGTGTG